ACATTATCCCCAAATACATATCAATAATCAATTTCGAACACTTTACTTTGACATTGTAACCACTCCTCAGCTGTAACAAACAAATTAAAATAAAAAACTAATAACCCAGCAAAAGTAAGAAAAACAATAAAACTTTTATTTGCAATTACATAAAATCAAATGAAACTAAATCCAGGGAAACTTTTAGCACGTGTTTAAATAATCCCTTTAATAGAAAGTTTATTGTTATTTAATTTGGTATTAATTAAATTATTTTTATACACCACTATAATAAAGGAGTATTCATATGTATATTGCGACTTTTTGCCAGTATCCTGAAATCTTTAAAAAGTTTTTGGCAGCATTGTTCATTGGTTAACTGTATTGACACATTTCACCTTACAAGTCCTTGTGCAAGTAACAGAAAAATCCCATTACTTTACATACGCACATTTATTATAAGACACAATTCAAATGTAAACATTAACATAATTTGACAAACTGTCTAAAGAATACAACAAAAAAAAAAAAAAACAAAAAACTCTTGCCAGACTTTATTTAATATGTCATGGTTGGATGAAAATATATAGACCTGAAAGAAAACACCACTAACTCGTTAGAATAGATAAATTTTTTTACAAACTCGTTTAACTCCGAGATTTTACATATTTCCAGTTTTAAGAATTTTAAGTTTAACAAGTAAGAGCTTTAAAAGTCACAAAAGATTATAGAACTAGAACGAATTTAAATATAATGATGAAAGCTTTAAAAGTTTAATACTTATAGACCAAAGCTTTTAAATATAGAGCATTATATGATATATTTAAAATTCAAAGCTTTTAAAGTTTATGGTTGAATATTTGATAGTTATTGTTTTAAATATAAGCTTTAAATGATTAAAATTTGGGAATTAGGGTTTTAAAAAGCTTTAAAATATTGAAAATTAACATGTTAAAGCTTAAAAAGTTAGTGCATTAAAATATAGATTTAAAGTTGAAAGCTTTGGAATATTAGATATGTTTAATTCTTTGAAAGTTAAACTTTAAAAGTTAAAGCTTTAAAGAATACGTTTTGAAAGTTAAAGCTTTTAGAGTGCTTAAAAGAAAAACTTAAAATTTAAAAGCTTTTTATTAGAACATTATAGTTTAAAATCATAAAGTTATTAATGGATTATTTTAAAGCTTTATAACGTTTAAAAGTTTTTTTAATTATTTAAATGTAAAACTGAGACTCGAAAGGATAAAGTTTTTAATAGATGTTTTTGGTTAAAATTTAACATTTTAAAAGAAAGCTTAACGCTGCAAATGATAAAGATTGAAGTTTAAAAAAACCTTATAGGTTAGGAAATTACTTTTAAAAGAAAAAGCTTTGAAGAAGCTTGGTATATAATACCCTAAAATTTAAAAATAAAAGCTTTGATAGAGAATTAAAGCTTTGCAGCCTTATTCAAAAACGTATGTTAATGATGAAAACAGTTAACAACAGGGTTTTTATATGGTAAAGGTACTGAGAACTCGTCATTAATAGAAAGCTTTTGAAGCAATTCGCTTGAAAGCTGCATAATTTAACATATAAGGCCGTTAAATTAAGCTCTAATCAAATTTTTAAAATTCATAAAAACTACGAAAAGTTGTTTTAGTTAGTAAAAGCTTTTATATTTAAGTATGAGATGATTAACGGTTTAAACTTCAAAAATTGAAAGTTTATTAATTTTGAAAGTAAAAGCTTTGAAGATAAGTGCTATAAATGTTAAAAAATTTGTGGTTTGAACTTAAGAGCTTAAAATTTAAAAGGTTTAAAAGGCTTTATTAGCAGTTGTCTTAAAAGCTACATAATTCAACTTCAAGGCCGTTAAACGAGTATTTTAATAGTCGCAAATATTTCATGTCTATTACATTAGCAATAAGTAAAAAATCCTTTATAAGTCTTAAAATACTTGGGAAAATAAAATACTCTAACACATATTGTAATCCAATATTAAAAGTCTTTAATTTTATTTAGCAAAACACACGCATATGTTGTCTAAAATATATAAGAAAATATTTATAAAGTTTTCTCAGACAACCCGGTAAATTTTTGTTTAGCAATGTTCCCTTTTCCATACTAACTAATTTTGATATAAGTTACTGACTAAGATGACTGAAAAGATCTTTTCTAATTTGACTAATTAGCTCTTTAACTAGCCAAGTAACTAGTCTGCTAACAGTTCCCATGTATTACTGGGTATATGAATTACACCTACACTCATATGTATAATATAAATACATACATATGTATGTATGTACTTTACATATTACGTATGTATTATTTTCTTCTGTTTTTTACTTTTATTTATATTTATAGACTTCTTTAAGAATTTTATACAACAATTTATTTATTATTATTTTTTATATTTTTGTTTATTTTATTCAATGTTTTACTTTTTGCCGTTGCTTACTTAAGTATTATTTTCTTAACAAAATGAATAATGTGAAGAAGGTTTTCTTTTGCATATAACCTGATACATGGGATGTTGAATTTCTTTGCATATTGTTTTCAAAAAAAAATTAATTAAGTATTAGAGTAGATATAACAAGAGATAGTAGAGCGTGGCTAGTGAGATAAGTTTTAACCCTTTATTTCATAGTCTGAAACATATAGTTATATTGCTCAAGTTTTGTTTATATTAGTTTAATTCAAAACAATTTTGAATTTTTGTTTTCTTTATAATGTATTTCATATTTTTTCAGTGTTTCAGTCACATAAAGTACATAAAAAACTTACATCAAACTTAAAAAGACAGTTTATGAATTTTAGAATGAAATATAAACTTTTTGTATACTTTAAATTACACAGAGTTACTGCCTTATACATAACAATTTATCAAAGGTTTATAACACATTTTGTATGAAAATTTGTCTAACCTTTGATAAATTGTTACGAATATGGACCTTATTTTTGAACTTTTAAATTTAAAAAATCACAATTTTTTAGTTTCAAACAGATTTTGATATTCGACGTTTTGTCTTAATCGCAAAAAAGAGATAAAAAACGTTATGGTCACATGTCTGAGTTACGATAGTAACGTAAATAGCAAAATCTTTCACCGGTTCACCGATGTCGCAAAATTTTTTTTAGAGTGTAATTGCATTGGTAGATACAGTTAAAGGTTATTTTCATAGAAAATTAGTTAGTTAGTTAGTTAGTTAGTTAGTTAGTTAGTAGTTAGTTAGTTAGTTAGGTAGTTAGTTAGTTGTTAGTTAGTTAGTTAGTTAGTTAGTTAGTTAGTTAGTTAGTTAGTTAGTTAGTTAGTTAGTTAGTTAGTTAGTTAGTTAGTTAGTTAGTTATAGTTAGTTAGTTAGTTAGTTAGTTAGTTAGTTAGTAGTTAGTTAGTTAGTTAGTTAGTTAGTTAGTTAGTTAGTTAGTTAGTTAGTTAGTTAGTTAGTTAGTTAGTTAGTTAGTTAGTTAGTTAGTTAGTTAGTTAGTTAGTTAGTTAGTTAGTTAGTTAGTTAGTTAGTTAGTTAGTTAGTTAGTTAGTTAGTTAGTTAGTTAGTTAGTTAGTTAGTTAGTTAGTTAGTTAGTAGTTAGTTAGTTAGTTAGTTAGTTAGTTAGTTAGTTAGTTAGTTAGTTAGTTAGTTAGTTAGTTAGTTAGTTAGTTAGTTAGTTAGTTAGTTAGTTAGTTAGTTAGTTAGTTAGTTAGTTAGTTAGTTAGTAGTTAGTTAGTTAGTTAGTTAGTTAGTTAGTTAGTTAGTAGTTAGTTAGTTAGTTAGTTAGTTAGTTAGTTAGTTAGTTAGTTAGTTAGTTAGTTAGTTAGTTAGTTAGTTAGTTAGTTAGTTAGTTAGTTAGTTAGTTAGTTAGTTAGTTAGTTAGTTAGTTAGTTAGTTAGTTAGTAGTTAGTTAGTTAGTTAGTTAGTTAGTTAGTTAGTAGTTAGTTAGTTAGTTAGTTAGTTAGTTAGTTAGTTAGTTAGTTAGTTAGTTAGTAGTTAGTAGTTAGTTAGTTAGTTAGTTAGTAGTTAGTTAGTTAGTTAGTAGTTAGTTAGTTAGTTAGTTAGTTAGTTAGTTAGTTAGTTAGTTAGTTAGTTAGTTAGTTAGTTAGTTAGTTAGTAGTTAGTTAGTTAGTTAGTTAGTTAGTTAGTTAGTTAGTAGTTAGTTAGTTAGTTAGTTAGTTAGTTAGTTAGTTAGTTAGTTAGTTAGTAGTTAGTTAGTTAGTTAGTTAGTTAGTTAGTTAGTTAGTTAGTTAGTTAGTTAGTTAGTTAGTTAGTTAGTTAGTTAGTTAGTTAGTTAGTTAATGTCTTCGATTCTTGACTACATTTTGTTGTTCCTTTACCTAAACTTAAAATTAATTCTACGTATTAAGATTATTCTTATTTTTCTTCTCTAAAATAAATATTAAAATAAGACAGCAACATGTGTCTTGAATACTAATAATACTTGTCATGTTATAATAAAAAATCATAATCTCTTGTAACAATTTTTCTTTGCAACAACAAAATAAACAAAAAATAAAGCAAAATTACAAATTACTACTGCTAGATTATTATTTCAGTAAACGAAAACATGAGCTTCTACTTTTTTTCAACTCACGATTTATTAATTTTAATTAATTTATATATTCCAACTGAAAACAAGGAAACGAGAAAAGAAAATACCAACGAATATCTATGACAATGTGAAAAGATTTCTTAATAAAGTTGTTAAATTAAAAAAAGAACCGTTTGCTTTCATGCCAAATAAAAAAAGAAGTTGTCAAGGAACATGATACGTACTACTACAGCCAATAGTACAAGAGTATAAAAAGTTAAATCAAATAAAATAAACTGAAAAAAAATATTTACATGTAAAATACTATAGCATACTATAAGGAAAAAGTTATGCTGTTCTTGCTGTTGCTTTTCAAAAGCAAATATTTAAAATAATTAAAGAAAATGAGCAAAAGAATTAACATTTAAGATTTTTTCCTATTTTACTTGTTGTGTTAGTTAGTTAAGCAAAAGTTTAAATAAATATTGACAATTTTCTTTTTTTGCTTTTTTCCATTTCAGCTGGATTTACAATTGCAAGATGAGGCTGGTGGTGATATTTCAAGTTTTATTACCAATGGTGAATGGGATCTGTTGGGTATGTTGAAATTGTGTGTTTTATTAAAATACAATGTTAATGTGTTTAAAGAGTGTGTAATGTTGCAAGGCCAAGTTATATAATTCTTGAAATATTTAAGATTTGTTGCTGAACATTAAGTTCTATGTTGCAAGAGTTTCTTTAAAATTATTAATATAATTTCTTAACGCGGTGAGACAAAAAATAATGTTCTTTTGTATTAGTTGAAAAATTATTGAAATATTAAGCAACATGTCGCCATTGAAAATAAGGTATTATAAATATTTTTAACATGTTGCTGCAACAAAATTTAAAAACCTTTATATGTAAACCTAAATTTGCTACCAACTACATTATATAAAATTTTAATTGTTTATTATATTTTTGCAACATGTTTCTGGCAACATTAATCAAACTTTTTGCAACATGTTGCTAAAAAATTCAAAAATTAGCAAAAAAATCTTATTTTACCATTAGCTATTTTATATTAACACATGTTTTTACTTTTGCAACATGTTGCCAGAACTATAGATGTTGCTAAAACTTCTAAACTTGGCCTTGCAATTAAGTAACACTTACAACTATTTACTTTCAAATTTCTTTTTTTCTTTTAACTAAAACTATTAAATAATTTCCTAATATTTCTATTTTCTATTAAAAAATTTGTTATTATAATTATTAATATTAAAAATAATTCTCTCTTTTTTATATATAAAAAAATTAAACAACAAAACAAATAAATTTCCTTTTTCTTTTCCTCTCCCCCCTTCATACTTCCAACCAAAAAATCAACAACAACAACTACAAAACCAAACGTTATGGTAAAAATTTTGAAAAAAAAAAATGAACAATTGAAAAACCCCCGGTCCTACCCCCCCAAACTCTCTCTCTCACTAACCCTCAAACTCTCTCTGTCTCTGAAATAACACACAATGTTAATGAATGAAAAAAAACACAATGATAAAAAACTGTAGGTGTACCTGGTAAACGAAATGAAATCTACTATAATTGCTGCCCAGAACCTTATATTGACATAACATTCGCCATTTTGATACGACGTAAAACTTTGTATTATTTTTTCAATTTAATTGTGCCCTGTGTACTGATTGCCTCAATGGCACTGCTAGGTTTTACACTGCCACCAGATTCTGGTGAAAAACTATCGCTGGGTAAGTTTTCAAAGCAAAACCGATATATAAAAAACATATAAATATATAAACAAAAGTACTAAACTATGGAATAAACTTTAAAAGAAAGTATATTCTAAAAACTATACTACATTTATAAAGCAAATTAAGTTTAAAACAAACTCTTTAGAAAGTTAATGAAAAACTCACTTACACCCAACAATTATACCTAAATACACTGAGAAAAAAAAACAAAAAGTAAACATTTATAAAATGAAGAACTTCCTTAAAATAATAAAATCATATTAAAAACTACAAACAATTCCTTTCTTAACGAAAATTCCAATTAATAAATATTAAAGCAAATAGATTTTCTAAATTGAAACTAAATGAAGCAGTGTTAAAAGTATTTTTTAGATTTAACAAAACCTATTTAGACTTAAAGCTCAATATATAATAAATATTGTCCAATTGCTGGTTTCAGAAAAAAACCTCAACATTCTCACCAACTAAACCAATATGATCACACTTGTTGCGCTTCAGTTGCAATTCTGAACAAAGTGTGACACAACCTCTAAAATAAATGCAATATTTTTTTTATACTTTAATTAAATTTAAATTAATTTTATACTTTTTAAAATGTATTATTAGCAAAACTATTTAGAATTTTATTTTTAAGTTAAGTTTAATAAAAAAAAAACTAATTCAATTCTAAAGACAGGGTGATTTGTTTAAGTTAAGTTTCATTATTTATTAACAGGGTGTTTAGGAAAAAATGTTTTTTTTTTCATTTGCTTTATGACAGGATGTTATGAAATTGTTTTCTTTTTTTACAGAAATTTTAAGTAAAACAAATTTATTTTTTTGGGATATTGTTTCATTTACACAGAATTTTTTTTTACTTTTTTTGATTATTGTTGTAAACATTTTAATTTCTGGCACTAAATATTTTGACAAATGGTTGTGACAAGAAAACGGGCCCCACTACCAAATCTTAATAGATTTACTTTTGTCTTTCTATTCGTTCTATAACTAATACTAGTTCGTGTTCTTCTTAATGCTTTTCATTTACTTCAACAAAATACTCTCTACGCTACGTTTACTCTCTCATAATATAACTCTTTTGCTTAAGTGTTTATAGCTTAATACTAAATTGTAAAAGTTGTGTTCATATTAAACAAATATTTAATGAAATAAACCACACAATCTTTAAATATAAAAGTAAATTTTCTCTATTACAAAACTTAAACCTTTAGGTTTATTATTCATAAACTTTTATCAAAGGTTTATAAAGCAAATTTTCATATAAATTCAGTTTTATAAACCTTTGATAAATGTTGCCCTAAAGTTTATTTCCTTAAATATTTAAAACATGTAAACATAACTTTTAAGCATAAGAAGTCAACAAAGGAGGTTCTTCTTCCGTTCCAAAAACCAACGTATTCATTACAAAGCTTTGAAAATGTTGTTGACTTAATCTCACGCGTCTTCTCCAGGATTTGTAGTAGTGTAAACATCAGTACGCAAGACAACAAAAAGAAAAGGGCCCAAATAAATTGGGCACCAACTGATGTTAAAACAATCATCAGTAACGTTTAATAACTAACGTAATGCACTAAAAGGCAAAACGAATGTGTCAAATTAATGGATACAGCATTTAAGCCAATAAAATTTGTTTTTGGGCTAAATATTTAAATAATTTTAAAAATTAAAATTTTAAAATAATTTAGTTGCTAAAACTGAGCCAATTGAATATGTTCGTTTGGCTTTAATCGTATAATCGGTTCCGGTAACTAAATTAGTTAAAGTCTAATTAATTATTTAATATTTTTTGTAATTTTTTCTAATAATCTTAATGAATTTAAAATATTTTAATCAAAATTTAACTTGATTTGATTAAAAACTTAATGAAAAATTAAATTATGTTTAAAGTAATATATAATTTGTTATTAATTTATGCATGTTTTTTTATAATAATCTTTAACTACCCAGTAAAAACTTGGTAACTAATCACTACATAGTGTCTGTAGTGACAGTTAAGTAATGGCTGGATTTTAATCTAATAATTAAGTGTTTTTAAACCTCCTATATCAGTGGCAAAATAGTAACTTTTATACTCTGATTGATATGTAGGACCGACATTTTAGATAACTAATTATGAGCGATATTGAAAAAATATCAAGTTTTAGTTTAGTGAATAGACCGTGTGCGGGTATAGAAAGTTTAATACTGTAATAAAACAGATTTCATTCTTGACCATTTCCACTAGCAAAGACTTCAAATTACCTTAAACTCTTACACTGTTTACATGTAAGTAGTTATTTCAGCGATTACATAACAATGGTTATAATAGTAAAGACTTCAAATTACATTAAACTCTTACACTGCTTGCATGTAAGTAGTTATTTCAGTTATTACATAACAATGGTTAGTATATTAAAGACTTCAAATTACATTAAACTGTTAGACTGCTTACATGTAAATAGTTTTTAATTATATCATTTATTCCCACCATTCTGTTATGTTTCATGACGTGACTGCACTAATATCATCAAACGGGTAAAAACTAATTAAGCCCTTTTTTCCATTACTTATTAGTGAAAGTTTTTGCTGGGTAATTTTGCTTTAAAATGTTAAATGTTAAGCAATTTTTTATCGGTGTAAAATTTGTGTCAACAACATTTGAAGAGTTTCGTTTCTTAAATCTATTAAAATTTCCAGGTAGGTCTCTAGAAAAACTAAAAATTATATCATAAAATAATTTCATATTGCGGAGGATTTCGTCGAATATATTTTCTTGAATTTTCAGGGAGTCCGTTTAGCAGTTACTGTTTGTTACTTCTACTACATTTATACTAGAGATATTTGCAAATAAAGGGGGAGGTTTTGACCTTTTTAAAGTTAATTTTCGATCACTTGTAGGGATTAATTAGCCATTAGCTGCTATCCGCCGATTAATTCTTTGCAATGTTGAAGAACTTAAACATTCATAATCCTACGATCTTAAATGCTGGTCGTAGGAACAATGCACAATTCCTAGGTTCTAGAAAATGGCATAATTGCTCCGTAAATATATTTTAACAACAATGACGTAAATTATTCACCCCTGGTACCAAATTCACACCAAATTTGCAATAACATCCGTTGTCAAATTATGTACGGATAGTTGTCAAACCAACAACAAAAATGTATAAAATACACAACGTTCTCAAATCAACAAAAAAAAGAATAATGTTTTACCAAAATGACAACGCTATGTTGTCACACAGAACGTGGCGTTGTCGAAATGACAACGACTCGATGTCAGAATCACAACGATGCATTGCCGAAATGACACAAAGCGTAATCGAACTGACAATAATGTGTTGTTGCAGTGACAACGATGCGTTGTTAAAATTACAACGGTGGTTGCTAAAATGATAACTGTGTGTTATTTAAATTTTATACACATCCGTTGTCTAAATGTTAACAAACGTGGAAAACTCACTTTTGACAACGGATTGTATCAATTTCGGTATTTTCCTACCCGTTTTCCCTCTGTCTATGTCATGTGGTTTCGTATCGCTATATACATATTTGCATATGTATTTTTGTAGAAATTTCTGAAGTTTCAAGTCCAATTGACAAATATCGACCGCACTCATTGCTCAAATTCAGCTAAAACTAAGAGACCTTAAACATTTCTTCTCCTTCTGATTCTAAACGTGGTGAAAGTCAACTGATGACAGACGCTTCAGCAAATTATCTAGTTAGTTATACCCCAACCTTGTATTAATCTCTATATGTAATTCCTTTTACTTAAACCATAAAAGGGGAAATATATAATTTATTAGCTAGCTTCAAATTTAGTTCCTTATTTATCCATCGAATGGTTCAATATTAGTTCTTAGTTTGAACACTTACAAAATATCTATAAGTAGCAAATACATCTGTGGTCACAATCCATAAATGTCTAAGTTAACCTAATAAAATATATTAAGTAATCTCGGTGTTTTTATGAAATATACATATACATTTTTTTTTATTTTTTATAAAAAGGGATTATTCCCAAAGTATATTTTCGACTTCGGCCATTAATGCTTATGACCACAGGTATATGTATATGAGAATCCTATCCCATAAAACATAAACAATCTTTAATTGAAACTGCCAGATAGTTGTGAAAAAAACAGAAAGGTGGCAATGGTACCAAACCTATAAAATGACAAATTCTTTTAAAGGGAATATGTCATCAAGTGTCATGTCAGTAACGTTCTTTATTTTAAAATTTCCATTTTAAATTCAAAGGTAAATATTTTATATCCTTAAATCCTTATCCTTCAATTTAGTTTTTAATATAATTTGTTTTTTTATTGTTATTATTTATAACTCTAATACAGCTTAAATAACAAACTTTTTAATAATTTGCACTTAAATACACAAATACATATAAAGTTAAATAATTCAGAACAAATTAATTTAAAAGTTCATACATAAATGTTTGTTTAGAATTTAATTAGAAAGTAACCTTTCTTAAAGTAAAATCAAATGGGAAATGACCTGTAGTTAATATCAATGCTCATATACCAATTTAGTTTATACTAGTTATAGTAGAGTTATTATTGCAGCAGATGAAAACCCAATAATACTATTTATATAGCAGACCCATTTCAAAAAAAAAAAAAAAAAAAAAAAAACAATAGTTGTCTGTCAAAACAATAGATTTGGATAAAATAAAAACTTTCTAAAGTAAAATGTAAATAAATATGTTAGAAATTACAATAATATAAACAAAAATTTTCAATAAAGTAATAAATGACTTTATCTTAGATTACCTGTGATATGTTAAGTAATCAACCCAACGTTACTCGCATAATTAAAGTCAGCCAGTAATAGAATTTTAAGAGATACATACTTTCTGTGAAACTACTGAATTTATTAACGAATCAACAACTTCTACTACTACTCGAACCACCACTAACCAACCAACTTCCTTAGCCACAAAAACGTATAATTGAAATAACAACAACTACTATAAAAAACAAAAAGACCATTATTTTCAA